GGTTTAATGTGAAGCACGTGTCTGTGCTTTGCTGACCTGGGGCTTTGGTCGCCTCTAGGGTCCATCGGTGAGAAGGCTGGAGGTCTTTGCTGTTACTCCTTTATTCTGTAAATTTAAGATATCTTGAGAGTGTCTTCACTGGCACAGCTTCTCCAGTGCTGACGATAAATCCCCCTCATAAGGAGTGTGCTTGCCCCTCTGACCTTGGAGCAGGGATGGAAAATCTGGTTTCATTGGTTAACCCGTTAAACATTATGTTTAACCAATTAAACGGGGTGAGCAGCGGGGAGAGGGGAGGAGGGTACTGCTAGGCAGGAGCCGCTTCCCTACTCTGGTGGGGCTGACATGTCCCTGCCCACGGCAGGTGGGGGGGCTGCTCCAGCCCCCACTGGTTAACCGGTTAAACATTCACTTCCCTACTTGGCAGTGCAGTAACCAAAGGAGCACTACATCACTGGAGGCCCTGGCGTTGGAATGAGGTGTTGAGGTCTGTCCTTCCCATTCCGCCAATGGCTGTCAACAATGAACAGTCACTGAATGTGTCATTGACATCAGCCCATCTCTGGAGACTTCAGCGTTCATCATCTTATGTAGGCAGAGGCAGTTGGCCAAGCTTAAATCAAAGGCAAAGTCTCTAGAGTCTGATCCCTATATGGAATGTGTCGGAAGGGTTCTGTGTGAGCTAACCAGATTTATTTCCACTGAAAGCCTTAATTACCAGAAATATGGTGTGTTGTCAGCATCCGCACCCAGAGCCAGCCTAGATTTCTGCAAGGGAAGCATCTCTTGCCATGTCGTAGAGGCCCCCCAAGGAAGGCATATTGAACCAGGCCCCTCGTATAGTGGGGATACGATTCCCATTTTATCTTCAAAGGACTCGCCATGCTCCAGAGCCTGGCCTGGAAGGTGCTGAATGCTTTTGGTTTGGAGATGCTCTTCCCTTTGTGGGATTGAACCCTCCATTCCATACCAGTCCCAATGCAAATCAGCCAAGATTATGCCAGGCTCCATAGGCCTGATGAAATCCCTCTGCAACATTAATAATAGGGCATGCAGGGCTCTGAGTGGCTAAGGGGAAAGAGCTTGTTCCAATTTCTACCGGGAATCTACATTTGCATCCTGAAGAAACCAAGTGTAAGTCTCTCCTTGTTCCAAAGTAGAGACCTTGATGCTACTGTAACTAGCTCCATCTGCCCCTTCCTAGTAGCCTTTGAATAGTGTCACCTTTGCTGCTGCTTCAGATGATTACCAATAACTTTATTTCTTACAGGTCCAAGTTCACAAGCTGGCCAGCATGCCTCCAAGTAGGTATTTGTTCTTTGTGTGTGTTTTAAATATATTAAAAATCACTGAAACCACGAGGTTGGGAGAACCCCCCTGTTATTTGTGGGTCACAGCGATGAAGTGACACTGTTGTTGGAACACCTGGCTTTCCATCCCAATGCTGGACAGCAGGCTAACATCTGCCCTTGTGTATGTAACAGTCTGTCTGGGGTAGATGAAAGGGAATGACTGGTCTAGAGCATGTTGGCAAATTGGAATCATTCTCAACATATTCTTCCTCTCAATATACCCTTCAAAAATCTCATCCAGAATGAATCCCTTTCACGGGAATTTAAGGATGCCCAAATCCTTTGGGATCCTTGGAAAATCCCACCCAAACTAATTGGACACTACTTGGTCACAACTTCAAACTCTTACTAAGAGAACATTGGTTAGTTCTGCAAATTCCCTTTTTAACACATAGGGTTGAAAGACCCAACTCCAAGAGTCATTTTCAGTGGCTCACTCTTAAACTTGGCGGATGCACCTCAGGAGGCTCCCAAAGAGTGGATCTTGGGTTGGTACTACTCGATATTTTCATTTGCAGTATAGCTGCAATGTGCCGATGATGCCATGCGTTAAGGGGTTGCTAATCCCATCCTCCAACGTACTAGAATTCAGAGAGGTCTTGACAAATTGAAGAGCTGGTTTGAAATCAACAGGATGAAAGGCAAGGAAGGCGAGTGCAAAGTACTAGACTTAAGAAGGAAAAATAAAGTAACTAATATAAACTGGGGAATGGCAGGATAGACAGTAGTGCTGCTGAAAAGGATTTGGGGCCTATAGTGGATCTCAAATTGAGTGACACAACAGTGTGATGCTGCAGTGAAAAAGGCAATTGTGATTCTAAGATGAATTAAGTGTGTTGTATGTAAGACACGGGAGGCAATTGTTCCACTTTACTCAGTGTTGGTGAGGCCTCCGTTGAAGTACTGTATCCAGTCTGGGGTACTGCATTTTGTGAAAGCCATGAGCAAATTGGAGAGGCTCCAGAGGAGAGCAAAAAAATTATGAGGTTTGGAAAAGCTAGCCTATGAGGAAGGCCCTTTGGTTTCAATTTAAACCCATTTTTTACTGGAAAAATGCTGGGTTTTATAAAAGCATTTTTCTTCAATTTTCACCCTACCTTTATATCTGTCAATTATGTAAAAAAATTCTTGGTTTTTTTCACACACATTGTTTGAGATGTATGTGCGATACTACATTCTTCTGTAAGCATATGCAAAGTGGCCTGTTGAAGCAAGGCTACATATGAGGTTAGAAGTCGTATCCAGTAAACAAAGAGGCATGCACGCAAGCTCTGAAGCATGTGTACTTCTGAAACTCACTCCTGCCATATGCACTTTTCAAGCTGTCAGCAGGTAATGGTTTAAAAACCTGACACTAAACTGAGACGAAAATGAAAATCTGTATCAGTATATGTCTCAGAACACAAGGAAGCCTTTGAAAGTTAAAAAAAAAAATCAGAACCAATAAAAGGATGAAGTTGAGTGTCTGCACTTCAAATGGTGTGGCCCAATTATAATATGTACAGGCTAACCATTCTAAGTCTACAACAGTAAATTGCTTATTCAAATGAAAAGTTTGATTTGGGGATTAGAGCTATATTGTTTTCTTAAAACAATATATAGAGATTGCGTATTAAGAGTTTTAAGATCTGTAGCAAACCATGTTGAATTTTATTAATCAACGTATTAATCTAGTGCAATCTATATTCCCCTTCCCATTCTTCTGTCCTCCAAAATAAACCCCAATATTTACCCAGAAAAATTCTCAATAGTTTTTTCACCTGTTTTTGTTGTAGTAATAAACACAGATACATTCCTGGAAAGGGTGAGACAATAAAAATGGAAAAGGCAGGGCCCTACCTATGAGGAAAGGAAGAAAGACAGGGCATGTTTAATCTAGGGCAGTGGTCACCAACCAGTATATCGGGACCTGCTGGTAGATCTTGGAGCCTCTGACAGGGGATCTTGACTGGTTTGGCCAAGAGGCTATCAAATGCTGGCACTTCCGCTGCCCCTCCTCCCACTGCTGTGCACCTTCTGCCCTTTGCCTTAGAGCTGCCTCCGCCTTCCCCCACTTGCTGGGCAGGGAAGGAAGAGGAGCGGGCGCTGATGTCAGAGGGCCTCCTCTCCTGCCCTGTAGCTTATCTCCACAGAATGGAGGGGGGCACAACAGGGCCTGGGATGGAGGGAGTTTGCTGCCTGCTTTTGAGAGTGGTGCAGGGGCGAGCCTGCCTTAGCCCCACTGCATCACCTGTGGTAAGCAGTGTCCAGCTGGAGCCTGCATCCAGAGCCCCTGCCCCAGTCATAAACCCCTCCTAGGCCCCAAGCCCCTGCCCTAGCCCTGAGCTACCCCAGACCCAAACTCCCTTACAGTGCCTGTCCCCTGAACTTCCTCCTTCACCCCAACTCCCTGCCCCAGGCTCTGATCAGAGCAACTCCAAGTCCCTTAACCCAAGACCTGAGTCTGCACTCCAACCCTCTGCCTGATGAAAAGGAGGAAGGATGGGGGGCTGAGGGAGGACTGAGTGAGCAGGGGCAGGGCCTTTGAGAAGGGGCAAAAAGGAGGTGGGGCAAGGGTATTCGGGTGTGAGGTAGATCCTGGATTGCGCTTATATTCAGAAAAATGATCTTGTGCTTAAAAAGGTTGGAGATCACTGGTCTAGGGGAAAGAAGGCCGGGGAGATCTGATTTGTGTCTTTTTCAGAGGATGGTGATTGACTGTTTTCCAATGGCTGGACAAGAATTAATCAGCTTAGTTTGCAACAAGGGACATTTAGGTTGGATTATGTTGGAAAAACTTTCTAGCACTGAAGACCAGTAAGCACTGGACTAGGTCACAAACGCTGGAAGTTTAAAAGAACAGTTTAGACAAATAGGGACAGTCAAAGTATAGTCCCCCTGTCTCAGTGGGGGCAAATGGACTCGATGACCTCTCAAGGCCTCTCCCAGCCCCACACTTCTGTGATATCCTAGATCAGATCTTATCGTTCTGTGACAGCTTCCATTTCCTGATGCGCTTGGGGGGAAAGCAGGAGCTAGAACAGGGAGGAGCAGCACAGAGGTGGCTTCCTATCCAAGCTATGAAGGTTACCCTGATCCTTTAACTGAAAACTGAAGAGCTGCAGAACAAGCAGGCCATGTTTAAATCATGCTGGTGCAGGAACCAGTAAAGCCCAGGTTTTGGCATTAGCACAGTATTGCTAGAATCACTATAATCTGAAGGTATCACTTCCATGACAGCCATTTAAAACCCATGGTAGAGTCTCCACCAGTAGCGAATGGCATAGGTTCAAATTCCCCATCCTAGTCCTGGGGTGGGGGTTACCACAGTACAAGGGTATGCTCTCTTCTCCCTCCTCAATGTGAAGGAGTTCTCCTAGGCACTGCCGTCAGAGGAATGCAGCAGGGAATGCTCCATCTTTACAGGGGCTGGATTTTATGGAGCATTTATCAGGCTCTTTCAGGTCATTGGAAGGGAGCCCCATAGGAGGAGGAGATGGAACCCATTGCATGTGGCCTAGCAGACTAGGATTGAAATTCTATGGTGTGCCTCTGGCTTCAGTTGCTGCAGCTGTTGTCCTCCCGTGGTTCAGGCATTGCACTGAGAGCTTTGTCGTAAACAGCTGAAGGTGCTGACTTTACTGACCATGTCCTCTCTTCCTCACCTAGGTGAACCTGGTGCAGGCACTCTGATGGCTGAAAGCAAAGCAGGAACAGTGGGTTACCTGAAGAAGAAAGTGAATGGAAGGCTGATGGGTGCAATAGCCAGAATGCCAGCCAGCTTGTCCAAGGGGAAGCCCAGGAAAGGAAAGTTTGTGACCTCATCTAAGCAGGGGTCTCCTTTCCAGGAGGAAGCTGCTGCCATGGAGCCTGAGCAAACCCAGCCGCTTGATGAGAAGCCTCAGGGAAGCTGCCCCTCTCCTGATGAGGGGGACTCTTTGCTCAAGGACGGAAAAGCATCTTCCCAAGTTGTTCCCAGCTCCTTGGATTCAAAGCCAAATAGACTCTCACTGTCCTCTGATGCCAAGAGGCAACTTCTCCAAACCCACAAGCCTTGTAGGACCCTTCAGCTGAAGCTGACCAGTAAGGCATCCAGGAAGACTAGGAGCACATCAAGGGTTCTTCACCTCCGGAACTCAGTGGTCCAGATCAAATTCCAGAGGGTCCTTCATGGAGTGCAGAGGACTGCTCTCCGTGGCACTAGGGGGATAAAAGGGAGGGGTGTAGCTTCAAGGCAAGGCTGCTCCCTCCTCAGCAAAACCTTCAGGCACAAGGCAGAGAGTTCAACCTCCCCATCCAGGTACCCAGAACTGGTGGGCAAGCGGATCAAACATCTGTACGAGGAGAAGGACAAGACAGAGGCCTGGTACCAGGGGGTGGTGCTCAGAATCCACAAGCGTCACAAGGACCCCCTCAAGACTGTGTATGAGGTGAAGTATGACAGCGAGCCCGAGTGGCAATACTACCTGGAGATCCTGCAAGACTATAAGAAGGGCTGGCTGAAAGTGGATGAGTGAACGTGGCCTTGGCCAGTCCTGTGGCTCACCGCACTGTTGGCTCCAACTCAAAGAAAAGAGCCTGGGGCTTGCTTTGTTGTCTTCCCCACCAGGCTCCCCGCTCTGTCAACGGCCTAAACGCACCCAGTGTGGAGAGAAATGCCTCGACGAAATGCAATCATTCCTTCCTCCGCACCCGGCACCCTTGCTCCCCCTACTGGACACCAAAGCACCACTGTGCCTTGTGCCTATAGCAGGAAGTCTGGGAGATAAATTCCACACAGAAGGCCAGGGGGAAGCTGGTCTCTGCTCCATAATGTCCCATCTTTCCTTATTGGTGTGGACATCCCCCACTGGGGAGACCAGTCTCTTTTCTGGAAGCTGGGCTCTCAACCCCAGCAGCATATAGAGGGCACCACACCAAGCACAGGTAGCTCAGGAATACAGCAAAGAAGTGAGGCCACTCTGTTCTTCCACTAGGCACCCTTTCTTTTCATCTCTGCTCCTACCTGCGTCTGCTGGGCCGTCTCTCTTTATACAGCCTCCCAACCACGCTCGTCTGTTTCTGTTCTCAGCTAGAATGTATTTCGGCTCTTTCACGCTCACCCGACTGGTGATTGGTGCAGGCTGCCGTACAAAAGAGCGATCCCTCCTGGCTATCTGCTGGACTGCTGGAGACACAAAAGCCTTGAAGCTGAGTTACAATTCGACACGAGGCTTTATTCTGTTGCCATGGAGTCTGGCCATGGCTTTCCTTGGAGCAGGATCTGCCTCTTACAGTCAAATGTTGTGATTTACTACACACTATGCTTGAGCTTCCACAGGATCTAAACGGGTGCTGAATCTGGTCCATCTATACCTCCTCCTGCCCCCAACTCACACAGTTGCTTGGGTTTTTTTATATTCCCTTTTAGTTTAATATTCTGTAGTGGGTTTTGAAAGTGCATTTTCCATGGACCTGGAACCTCTCTACAAGAGGCAGGCTAAGCCAGCTCATGTCAGCAGCCCCGTTGGTCCCGGAGCAGCATGAGTGGGATTGCTGGTGGGTGCTTTTTAAGAAGACTTCAGACTGCACAGCACTAATTCGCTGGGACAGAGGCAGTAGCTGGTTCAGTGTTCCATTGCTGATTTTAGACCTTGTTCCTTTCAGCCTAGACTGGCTGATCTGTAGCTGATCTGATTTGCAGAAGTAGCCTTTTTTAATAACAGGGTTGTTTGGTTTCAGTGTCTGTAGTGGGGGGGGAGGGGGGTTGACGACCTTCACCTTGTGCCCTAAAGGAAGAAAAGCTAACAAGCAGGGAGGTGCTTTAACTACTACTACCTACACATCTTCATTGAAATGCTCTCCATCCCTCAGCCAACTTTAACTACTACTACCTACACATCTTCATTGAAATGCTCAGCCAATATTTGCTTTTCCCTTCTACTTTATAGGTATTCTATTAATTAAATGGAGCTTCTTGCTTTAACATCCTGTCCTTTTTAATCATGAAGGGCTGCAGAGATTATACAGAATATCGAGTCTGACTTCCACAGTTACAGGACTGATTTTGTTATTTTAAATGAAAACATTTTACAAACATTATGAACTTACCTTTGTAAGGAGCTGCTGCCTTGAAGTTGTGGGTCAGTTTGTACCTTTGTAAGGAGCTGCTGCCTTGAAGTTGTGGGTCTGTTTGTTTTGTTTTGTTTAATTTATTTAAACTTTCGGCTTCACCTGTTAACTTTGCTGGATCCAGGTGGAGTGAGATGGTGTCACCGGTTAGGAACTCAATTCCTATGTCATAGCTGAAAGACGTTCTGTGTGGGTTATAAAGACTGATTTTTTTTTTCCAACCCGATTACAATGCAGGTCTTGGATGCTCACTCTGGGCTGTCTTTCAAGGAGCTCTGAGGGAATGCACATACTGGTGAAGATCCTTTTTACTTGACAAGGAAATGGGGACTCTCATAATGTACCAATACAATGGGGGTCAGATGGAGGAGAAGGACCTCAGATACGTCTTCAGAACAGCAATCATTTCACTTCCTATCACACTGTAATGATTCCAGACGCAGTAGTGAAGTCTCCCCCTCCTCAGCTGAAGTGAATGGCTAAGAACTGACACATCTATGCTTCACAAGGCAACCAATCAGGACTGGCTGTTGCCTGGTGGATAAGTATACAAGCAGAGGCCTTTAAAGACTCTACACACACAGTTGGGGGAGCAGAGGAACAAGTTAAGAGATTTTTTTCCACTACAGGAAGTATTTATTTTAAATTGACAAAACTAAAACCAGTGGACTGTTCTTTCCACAATGGTGTTTTCTTGCTTCTGGAGGCAGTCACTGCTGCTGCCTTGAGTACCATTTTATTTTTAAAATGTTTGTACGGAGCGTGCAGGTGACTTGGAAGGAGGGGTTCTCTGTGCCGTTCTTGCACTCTTGCCATGTGCAGTCTGTGAGTAGCATTGTAAAGTGAGTCGGAGACCAGTGTTTGTAAATAATATTGTAATTTTTTTGTATAGAGTTGAAGTGGGAGAGAGTCCTTCATTTTATTTAATATTTTGTAAGAAGACCACCTTAAAAGGTGCCTCGCCCTGATTAAAGTGTTTTGGTTTGTTTCTGAATACTCTGGATTTTTCATTATCTGTGTTGTTAAAATAGCACCTGACCCAATGTATCACTGGCCCAGTTGTGTAAGGCACTATCTGCATCCAGAGTCAGAAATGTTCCGTGCATGAAGAGCCTGTAATCTAAATCTGATGAGTGAGAGGGGAAACAGGAACAGGGAGGGAAAACACCTTGCCAAAAGTCTATCAGTGACAAAGCCAGAAATAATACCAGAGCCCTAGAAGCCCAGTTCGATGCCTTATAAGTTAGGCGATGTGGCGTAGGCTAAATCCTGTTTGCTTCAGTACACAGATGTACATACACAAACAAAGTGGCCTTTGGAGTTTTATCCTGTTTCTACTGAAGCAGAAGGCTGTTCTATTACAGTGGGAGCAGGAGAAGACCTTGCTACCCTGTTGAAGGTTGACTGGGTCTTTCTTATATTTGCACTTTGCCACCATCCCTTTTTGAAAATGCTGCAGACGATCAAACTGCATTTAGTTTTCCTCGACCTCAACCACTGCTACTCCACAGCTGTTGACCCTAATTTCTTAGGAGAGGAGGCGACCATACCATTGGACCCCCAAGTGCAGCCTCCAACTATGCACTGCTGAAGTGGTACAGAGAGGATGTAAAATATTGCAAGGGGCCAGAGGAGAATTCCCCTGACATAGGCACTGCCCAAGGCCACAGTTATTTAAGTGTATAGTCCGTTGCATAACCACATTTTGATATTAAATGAATTCAAGAGACAAGTATCAGTTGGGGTTATAGCTAAAAGCCAATAATACTGTACAGGACAAAATTTCACTATACCAGTCTGCAGGAATCCAATTTCTGCAACATTGTAACCTTCACTTTCTATAGAGTATGCTCCCCAATTTACACCTTTCAGCTTAGAGCATTGAAAGGATATTACAAGCTCAAACACTTTCTACATGACACTAAAATCCAACCCATTAATTCATTGCAGTCATTTGTCATTCTGTACCTTCCTTACTTCACAAGGCTCTTATGCAAAATAGTCAATCATGGGATAACAGAGAAATACCTCTCATGGATCAATAATCAGGTAAAGATAGAAAACAAAGGCTTGGTCTACCCTACAGAGTTAGGTTGACGTAAGGCAGTTTATGATGCCCTAACTCTGTAAACATCTACACTAAAATACATATGCTACTGATGTAACTCGCTCACAACACCAGCTTAACTGCAAGAGCTGTAGCGCTTACATCGATGTAGTTAGGTCAACGCAGTATCAGTTGTAGATACTGTGTTGCTTACATTGACTGTTGCCATCTTTCAGAGAGTACTTCACACAGTGCACAGTCAACCTGTGTAACATGTTGGCAAGGGATGTTGTGCAGGCCAACAATATAACTAGGTTTAAAAGAGTAAATCAGTCCTTGGAGGATACGTCAATCAACAGTTTTCAGGCAAGATGGTCAGGGATGAAATCCCATGCTTTGGGTGCCGTTAAACCTCTGATTGCCAGAGGCTGGGACCCAGCGACCGGGGGATGGATCCATGGATAAATTGCACTGTTCTGTAGGTTCCCTCTGTGATGAAGTGAGGATTTTTGTAGTGCTTTACATGAATAGTTTGTGTGAGCCTCAGTCTCCCGGCATGCTTAACCAGCTGGTGAGAGAGGGTAAGTTATTGCAGCTGTGATGTCACCTAGCAGCCTGGACCCCTAGACAACAGCCTGGAGATGGGGACTCTAGCAGCCAGTTTCCTGGTGACTGAGAGACCCAACCCAATTTGGAAGGCAGCTGGTTCTGTCCAGTGGGAGCCCAAAGGGCTGAGGAGAGAGGACCCTGCTGACGTAACCGACCAACCCAAGTAATTCCTTGGTCAGATCACTGCCTAGAAAGCAGGCCCTGGAGTAGGGAAGGGACTATGTGTCCCAGCACTCCTTTGGCCGTTAGCAACAGGAAAGGGAGCGGGAGGGATGGGGGAAGCTGTGAGATCCCAACACAGCAGTTTGCTGTTGGCTGTTGGAAGGGGGGGGGTGCGGTGGGTAGGGAATGTGTGCGCACTGGGAGTAGCTTGTGCCCAGATCTCGCCCTCAGAAACCTTCCCCAGACTGGTTTAGGGATGCTGCTGTCCGTGGCTGGCTACTTCCAAGGAAGAAATTAGATGGACTGAGTAGACCATGGGTTTCCAAACTGGGGTGTGTGAAGAAATTCCAGGGGGGTGTGAGGCGACCCAGCCTCCCCTCCCCTCCCATCAAGTTTTGCTGCCCGCTCATTTCCTTTTTTTTTTCTCAACAAGTTTTGCTGCTTTTTTTTTTGGCAGGGGCGGCATGAGGGTTTTTTCAAAAATCAAGAAGGGGGGCGTGATGCCAAAAAGTTTGGGAACCACGGGAGTAGACAATGCACCTCAGTCTGAAAACTAGCAAAGTACCTGGTTTGCAGGAGGATTTGACTCAATTTCCACAGCCACGGAAGCAGAAATTTCTTTTCAAGGTTTATCTAATATTCAGAAGTGGAGTCTAGCACTTGCCTTCCAGATTTGGACAGAAGTGTTCAAGCTC